GATAACCAGGAGATAAATTCTTACAACGTCTCCATATAATTCTCTCCATCCCTCTATCTCTCTACCTACTACTCTCTATTCTATCCTCTTACACCTTCACTCTTTCCTTCCATTCTCCCTTTCGTATCACTGTTTTTATAAAAAAAATTCTCTCAGTTTCCCTTGATGTGGTCGAAGGTGAAGGGGGGGGGGGGTGTTGAGAGGGTGTAGCGGGGAGGGGGGGGGGTGTTGAGAGGGTGTAGGAGGGGCTTGAGAGGGTGTAGGAGGGGCTTGAGAGGGTGTAGGGGGGCTTGAGAGGGTGTAGGGGGGCTTGAGAGGGTGTAGGAGGTGCTTGAGAGGGTGTAGGAGGGGCTTGAGAGGGTGTCGAGGGGCCTTGAGAGGGTGTCGAGGGGCCTTGAGAGGGTGTAGAGGAGCTTGAGAGGGTGTAGGAGGGGCTTGAGAGGGTGTAGGAGGGGCTTGAGAGGGTGTCGAGGGGCCTTGAGAGGGTGTAGAGGAGCTTGAGAGGGTGTAGAGGGGGCCTTGAGAGGGTGTAGAGGAGCTTGAGAGGGTGTAGACTAGCTTGAGAGGGTGTAGAGGAGCTTGAGAGGGTGTAGACTAGCTTGAGAGGGTGTAAAAGAGCCTTGAGAGGGTGTAGAGGGGGCTTGAGAGGGTGTAGGGAGGCTTGAGAGGGTGTAGGGGAGCTTGAGAGGGTGTAGAGGGGGGCTTGAGAGGGTGTAGAGGGGGGCTTGAGAGGGTGTAGAGGGGGGCTTGAGAGGGTGTAGAGGGGGCTTGAGAGGGTGTAGAGGGGGCCTTGAGAGGGTGTAGAGGGGGCCTTGAGAGGGTGTAGAGGGGGCCTTGAGAGGGTGTAGAGGAGCTTGAGAGGGTGTAGGGGTGGATGGGGTGTAGGAGATGGCGGGGTAGTCCCGCTGGAAGCCTCCCCAGCTTGTCAGCGGGTTGACAAGCAAGACCAATTAGCAGGGAAATTAACACAAGTGTTGCAACATGTTGAGGCCCGGAGCCAGGCGGACCATTCCTGTGACTGACACTACTTAATCAAGGGCATGTATGACCGCTCCAGTAAGGCGACTTGTCAGCACTGGGGGAGGGGGACTCGTCAGCACTGGGGGAGGGGAAGGGGGAGGACTCGTCAGCACTGGGGGGGAAGGGGGAAGTCAATTGCGTCACCCTCTATTGATGAGTAGAGAGGATGTCTATTGAGAGCTTAGTCTGTCAATAGACAATCTATCCTAGTCAGCCAAACCACACTATCAGGATAGTGTATCCTTTATACTAGGAACATTTAATGTCATTTTTTCCTACTCTAGGAGTTCTATAATGACGTCGTTGTCATCTAGGGATTTCTAAAGATATATCCCCTCTTATCATAAGATATCGGAACATCCTTCCTATTAATGGGATAACTAATGGAATCTTTCTTATCGAGGGATATCTATTGGCTCTCCTCATATCAGGGAATCGTAATGCCATTAGCGCCGTGATAATGTTAATTAAACGTTCAAAAACCATTAACAATCAGTAAGTAAACAACGAGTTGTAAATCAAGTCATTTACAATGAATCCACAAGTTGTAAATTCCATCTGTCATGTGTTTTATCTTACTTTGTAAACGCTATCAGCCTATGTAATTAATTGTATATTGTTATCACTTTTAATGAAAATTCAATTCACTTTACAAAAAAAAAATAGTATGAACAATTTATGTTTGGGAATTAAAAGGCATATAGGAGAAAAAAAAATCTAATTAAATTTGAACCCGAGGCAATTTTAAACCAGCTATTCCAATCCATTACACACTAATACATAGGTGTATGTGTTGTGATGTTAATGTTTTAGTTAATACACCCTCAGTGTGTATGTACTCACCTATTTGTGCTTGCGGGGGGTTGAGCTTTGGCTCTTTGGTCCCGGTCACTGTATATGCTATTGGCATTGTTCCCATCGAGGTTTGAGGCCCAATGGTATATATTCTCATTCCTCCTTGTATGTTAGGTTGAGGTCTCTCGTGTGTTGATGACTTGTGGTTTGGGAGCATTGATGTCGTAACACGGAGGCGGGACCAAAGAGCCAGAGCTCAACCCCCGCAAGCACAATTAGGTGAGTACATGCATGCTGATGTCCTACTGTGTGCATTGATGCTGTATATGTTGATGATCGATTGTATGTATGTTGAAGTGTGTGTGTGTGTGTGTGTGTGTGTGTGTGTGTGTGTGTGTGTGTGTGTGTGTATAATTTTATTTACAATTTAATTACACAAAAAGGGTTACAATATTGGTTACATGCAGGGTACAGGGTACAAGGCTACTTGTCACAGGTAGTAGAGTTCCTCCAGCTCCTCAGATGATGGGCAGAAACCATGGATGCAGTGAGCATTTCCTCTCTAGATCGCCACGGTGATGCACTGGACATATATACATGCAAACAAGCTTTAATGGTCCCCCAAGCCATTATACAACAGAAAACTCCTCACCCCTTGATGGATTCGAACCCAGACAGCCAGGGTTCCATGCACCTTAACTTATCCAGTACTTTAACCTCTAGACCATACTGACTGTTCACAAAAGGACAAAAAGTCGTTAGACCTTTAATCCTTCGATGGACATGTAATCACAAAATTTTACCTGCGTGGTTGAGCTTCAGCTCTTGGCCCAGATTCTGGGTATTTTGCGTTGCACCATAGCTACATTTAAAGCTGTAATGTCCTACTGAACACGTGGATGCAATATTGAACGTGCTGATTTAGGGATGTGTTGATATTGCACTTCATGTTTATTGGCCCGATATCCCCCCCCCCCTGCACCAAAGTAAACTGTTGTTATCAGGGTTCAGTGTATATAAGAGTGCCGCGGGGCTCGCTCAAGGCACTCTTGGTGCTGGGGCCAGGCAGTGCCTTTATACCAGCGAATTTTCTTCTAATTTGAATAATGTCGCAAGTCGCACTAATGTTAATTTTATAAATAATGATAATTAGTTTTATCGCGTTATATATATATATATATATATATATATATATATATATATATATATATATATATATATATATATATATTATATATATATATGACTTATATAGTTTGTTTGAGTTTTCAGTCGCATATAGTCCTGGGGACCATTCAGGCTTGTTTGCATATATATATATATATATATATATATATATATATATATATATATATATATATATATATATATATATATATATATATATATATATATATTTTTCAGTGGTTCTTTCTCCATAGTCGGAGGCCAGACGCTTGGGGCTAGTGATACCCAAATTTGTAGGGTAATTGGTCCGGGGTATAGGATGATCATAGGCTGATCGAGATAGGCCTAAGTTAAATCCTTTAAGAAATATTTGTAATTATTCATCCCCCCCCCCCCCAACCATCCAATTTTCGCTGATTTAAGTCTGAACAATTGTGAAATATTGGTTGAGATGCCCCAAGAGTTTTTACCAAATTATTTCCTTAAACCCATAGAATAAATAATATTTGCACAAAGTCTGTCAGTGTCAGGCTAAACAACTGGCTGACCTCCACACAAGCAGAACTAGCAGCATTACATTTAGCAACCAGCACATTAAAAAATATTGGAGGAGGAATAATATTCTGCGATTCAAAGTCTGCTCTTCAAGCAATCGAAAACTTCTCTTGGAAGATCGACAGCAAGAACCTCATACTCCCAATTATAAATGACCTAATTGATGCACAGAGTAAAGGGTCTCGAATTTCCTTTGTATGGATACCTTCACACATAAATATAACCCATCATAATGAGACAGACATTGCAGCCAAATTAGCGTGTAACAAGTTTGAAGTTGAATTAGATCTAGGTATCCCTATCTCTGCTGTCAAAACTGTATTGGTCCAAACATTCAGATCTGATAGGAAAGAACTTACTGACTCCCAACGACCTGAAAGTACTAGTATAAAAAGCTATGATTTGTTCAGATCTGAAACCTACATCTATGGACAGCACAAAACGTCCACTAGACTGTGCGACACAGTGGTTGCAAGGATCAGGTTGGGTTACCGTTACCTGTGGCAGGTGGCTGCAGGTGACGGGTCTCCCAATCCTGAGCACTCCAGTTGCAAACTCTGTGAGCAGGAACTACGGCATGATCTCCCGCACTACATCACTGAATGCCCAATTATTAGACCTTTCAGACCAGTTGGCATGAGGTACCTGGAGCTTTGCAATTACTTTATTCACTCTCGTATTCTTGAAGATATCCTCACAGTATACCCAAAATTTGCCAGTGCAGGCTATTAAACACATGACTCTGTATGACTAACCATCCTGCGAGATGGGGACTTGTATTACCACTGCTACCTTATTCAATCTTGTGTTGTTGATATCCTCAAAATGCATCCGGAGTCTGCCAGTGCAGACCGCTAATCACATGCCTCTGTATGACTAACCATCCTGTGTGATGGGGATTTTATAGCATCACCTAGTTAGCTTTTTTGACACACTGTACTCCACCTCATATAGTCTAGGGTAGCTGCACTAATGCAGATGTACCTAATATGTTAATAAAAAAAAAAAAAAAAACCCATAGAATAGTTTCATTACTCTTAACATATATTGTGAAGGGGAAGAGGGGTTACGCAAGGGGGGGGGGAAGGCGGGATGGGAAGGAGGGGGGAGTGGGGAAGGGTCGGATCATGAGTTGGGGGGAGGTCGTGGGGTGGGAAAGGCGGAAGGGGGGGGGGGAGTAAAGGTCGGGTGCGGGAGAGGGAAGGGTTGGGATAACAAGGGGACAGAGAGCACACTCACCCGGGCACCGCCGGGTCCTTTCTGACCCCCCCCCCCCTTCCTTACCCCCCCCCATCCTTTCTCTTCTACCCCCCTCTCTCGACCCATCTCATGACCCCTCCTTTCTCTCCGTTCCCTCCCTGAACACCCTCCCCCCCCCCACAAGATCTCTCCCACCACTTACAAATGCTTTACCCTTCCATTTCCTCTCTGTCAATTACTGTCAATTCAGCTCCTTTACTTACCGTGTTCCTCCGTCCACTGGGACCTCTCTACCGTCATCTGAAGCCTGGAAGAGACAGACACAAAGTTATCACTTTAGTCTTCCTTTTCTTGTACATATGTAAATGCCGTACACGTGTAAATGTACACATGTAAATTTCATACACAAGAAATGTCGTACACATGTAAATGCATAATGTTGGTATCTGGGAATAGCTTTCGTCCTGACGTGGCTTAATGGGTTAAGGTGGCGTCTGGCATTCGCCGGGACCCTGGATCGAATCCCCACCTCCCCCCCCCCACAACACACACACACACACACACACACACACACACACACACACACACACACACACACACACACACACACACACACACTGCTTTAACAAATTTTATCGTTGGTATTTCACGTCATTGTGAGTTTTAGTATTGTGTCGATATGTAAGTCTAGGTTGATTTGTATCATCCTCTTCTCCCTTTCCATCTGTCTCAGAGATAGATGAAAAGGGAGGTATAGATGGAAACTGATCTACCCGCGTCTAACAGCCTGGTTGATCAGTCCAGCAACCAGGAGGCCTGGTCGACGACCGGGCCGCGGGGACGCTAAGCCCCGGAAGCACCTCAAGGTAACCTCAAGGTACCCTCCTAATATTCTGTATAGGGAGGTAGAGCAATAATCGATAAATGGAGGAGATCTCGGAACTCCTGGCTACCCAGCATCAATCACAAGGGCAAAATATGACGAAAAACTTCAAAAAACAGAGAATTAAGAAAAAGACTTTTGTTAAATAAGAGAAAGTTGTTGATAATGTTAAAATATTCTGTGTGAATATTGGAGTGAAATTCGAACAAAAAATAAACTCAGGAAAATAGGTTAAGGAAGTTGTGATTCTCTGGGATGAGTTTGGGAGGTCAGTTGCATGCGAAACTATGTCAGGTGATGGGCCAATAAGAACTCGGGTGAGTGTAGTTGGAATGGAGTTTAGGGCAGTAATGTCGTCATTAGCTTCTTGGTCTTTAGGTAGGTAGGTCGGTCGGTCGGTCGGTCTCTGGGTCTGTCTGTCTGTCTGTCTGTCTGTCTGTCTGTCTGTCTGTCTGTCTCTCTGTCTCTCTCTCTCTGTGTCTCTCTCTCTCTCTCTCTCTCTCTCTCTCTCTCTCTCTCTCTCTCTCTCTCTCTCTCTCTCTCTCTCTCTCTCTCTCTCTCTCATATTCACTATGCATTGTGGATATATAATATGATCTTACTGGAGGCGCTGCAGCTATTGTTGTTTAAGATTCGCTACCTGGAACAAAAAGTTCCAAGTAGCACGGGCTATGGTGAGCCCGCAGGAGAGGCACTGCAGGTTAGGTTCAAGGTCGGGGATTATACCATTGGTTCAGGTGGTATTTATGTTAGTGGTAATCTTGTTACAAAAGCCATTGTTCACCTGAATGTGTGTTACCCTGTCGAGCTCCCTACTCACGTTCAACTCTTCAGAGCTATGGGTAAGGATGACATTCAACTCTTCAGAGCTATGGGTAAGGATGACATTCAACTCTTCAGAGCTATGGGTAAGGATGACATTCAACTCTTCAGAGCTATGGGTAAGGATGACATTCAACTCTTCAGAGCTATGGGTAAGGATGCCCACACCACAAGATGGAGAAACGTGCCCGAAACGCATTGCGTAATGGTGGCTTTAGGCATTGTATGTACTAGCTCTATCTATATATCAATCCATTAATGTAACATCACTTGTATGTATGTATGTATGTATGTATGTATGTATGTATGTATGTATGTATGTATGTATGTATGTATGTATGTATGTACCTTACCTGAATAAACATATTTATTTATTTATATAAAGGACAACGTTTCGGTCCATCCTGTACCACTATCAAGTCCCTATGTGACCGAAACGTACGTCGTTTCTTTCTGGTGTGTGGTTTGGTCATTATATCTTCAGCCATCATCTGGGGAGCCGGTCGGCCGAACGGACAGCACGCTGGACTTGTGATCCTGGGTTCGATCCCAGGCGCCGGCGAGAAACAATTGGCAGAGTTCCTTTCACCCTATGCCCCCTGTTACCTAGCAGTAAAATAGGTACCTGGGTGTTAGTCAGCTGTCACGGGCTGCTTCCTAGGGGTGGAGGCCTGGTCGAGGACCGGGCCGCGGGGACACTAAAGCCCCGAAATCATCTCAAGATAGCCACGTTACTAGGACTCGTCAATGTGTTTAAGAACATGAATATAAGCGTTGAGAACACCGGTTTTTATATCTTAGAGGGCATTCACTCCAACCATTTAGGCATAAAACTTGTTTATGGCCTTTGTGTATACAACTGTGTTTAGTTGTGTCTTTGTTGTGGTTATTAATGCGTCCAGGGTGCTGTAGACTGCTATTGATCCTGGTTGATGGGGTTCTGGGAGTTCTTCTACTCCCCAAGCCCGGCCCGAGGCCAGGCTCGACTTGTGAGAGTTTGGTCCACCAGGCTGTTGCTTGGAGCGGCCCGCAGGCCCACATACCCACCACAGCCCGGTTGGTCCATTTCTCGCCAGTGAATCATGGGTACTACATAACTCCGATGGTACAATCCTTCACCCGGAGCATATACTGATGCTGAGGGATTACTGTCAAGAGGAGATAACTGGCTGAAGAGCAATCGGAAACCTGTCACAGGCAGGATACCCTGGTGTGCAATGCCTGATCACACATACAGTCATCCAGGCTAGCAACTGAGTCAACTCTGATGGAGAACTGGGGACATGTATTTGTAATGTTTTCATGAAAGTGCTTTTTAAATATTCGTGCGTTTCTCCATCTCTTTACTTGTCCTCGCTTTTCCTCACTCCCTACTTCCCTCTCCCTCCCTCCCTCCTTCCCTACTTCCCTCTCCCTCCCTCTTTGCCTCTACCCTGGGGAAACCGAGTCAGTAGGCACGGTAGTCCATCACTCACTATTCACACATTTAGATACTCTTGTTAGCGAAGAGTGAGACTATCTGTTATCTCCCTTCGAACGAGCAGTAATCCAATTGGTCTCCATGTGATGACAAGACAAATGGTAGTTAACAAAGGCATATATATATATATATATATATATATATATATATATATATATATATATATATATATATATATATATATATATATATATATATATATATTCATTCCTTCTGAAGATGTATTTAATATACGAAAGTACTTAAGGAAATTCCTGTTTCATTTTCCTCCGTGGTCTGACATTGTCATATATATATATATATATCATTCTTCCAGCCAGCCATTATAATCCATCCATTCATATAACAATATATGAATGGAAGGATTGACTGGGCACACACCGGAATAGATGGAGGGAAACAAATGATTCAAATGGTTATACAGATGACATGCGGCAAAATACGACAGGGTAGACCACATCTTCCTAGACAGCCAAAAAGCGTTTAACAATGTTCGTCACAGATTGTTTGAAGGGCCAAGTGAGTGGTAGTTGAAAACGCTCACAGAACGCCGAGTGAACGCAGTGAAGGGCGAGGAATGATCCTAAATGCACTAAGAGGATGAGAACAGAAGCTTCACGGTCCCTAAGACCTCATTAACTTCTCATTCTTCAGGTAATGAGAAATGACTTGATTTAACCCTCATGAGAGAATGATAATGCCTCACACCTCTATGTCTCCTCTCTCTCACTCCCATAGTGTCCTTCCTCCCCCATTTAATGCCTCTCCCTCCCATTATATATCACCTCTCCTCCCCCTTATTATGTGTTGTGATCTCTCCTCCTCCATTATATGTTCTCTCTCTCCTCCCCTTTTATATGCTATCTCTCTTACACCATTATATGTTCTCTCTCTCATCCTCTTTTATATGCTATCTCTCTTACACCATTATATGTTATCGACTCTCTTTCCTCCTATTATATTTGATGACCTCTTCTACCCCCATAGTGTATCCGCTCCCATGGGGATATCCTGGGAGCTGTGGGACAGCCCATGTGAGGGGGAGGATTTATGAGGAAAAGGCAGTGAGGGAGAGGGGAGAGGGGTGGTGGAGATGATGAGGGGAACACTGCAAAGGAAGGGGAAACGAGCAGAATATGGAGAGAGGAAATGGTTAAAGGAGAGAAACAAAGACTGCTGGAGAGTGAGGGGGAAGAGTGGGAGTGGTGGAGAGGGCTGGTGGATGGGGGCTAGTGGAGAGGGCTAGTGGAGAGGGCTGGTGGATAGGGCTGACGAATGCGACCAATTGATGAAAAGTTTCGTCCCCGGAAGCAAGCCCCAAATGACATTTAACAATCACTGGAGGTAATTTCCTCAAAGCCATTGATGAAGATAATTCTGTTCGAGGGAAAATTTCACTTGGAAATTCCTCAAGACAATTTCAGAGCTCAGGGCACTGAAAACAATTGCCAGGCGAAATTTGAAGTCTTTATGGGAGAACTGATTGGGCACAGAACGGCTCAATTTCAAGCTGTGTCATCTCGACAGGGTCAGGCAGGCACGTAGGACCTGAACCAGGGAAAATAGATAAAGGTAGGAAGGACTAGAAGTGATGAGAGAGAGAGAGAAGGGGGAATCAAGTTGATGAGACGAGAAGAAATGTTAGTATTGAAATAGGTGTGAGGGAGGGGGAGGGAGAGAGGGAGGGGAGGGGGGGAGAGAGGGAGGGGAGGGGGGGAGAGAGAGGGGGAGAGAGGGGGAGAGAGAAGGAGAGGGGGGAGGGAGGGAGGGAGGAAGAGAGGGGGGGGGAGGGAGGGGGGGGGAGGAGCACTCATACTCGAACCTGCGAGTACACACACACACACACACACACACACACACACACACACACACACACACACACACACACACACACACACACACACACACACACACGCGCACACACACACACACACGCACACACACACACACACACACACACACACACACACACACACACACACACACACACACACACACACACACACACACATACACACACACACACAGGGAATAATGAAGGGCACATGAAAGGGGTTGGTCAAACAAGGCAAGTGAACGGGCCGTTGAAAGTGGCAGTTAACGGTCATATTGGACCCCTGTT